CCAGTGACAAGACAAAAGTCAAGATGATAGGTGGTAGCTCTGGACGCATTGGGTGATCTTGGCATCTTTGGTGTCTGACCAGATACTCTACAGTATCTGCTTTTGCCACCTTCATGGCTTGTTCAAACAAAATGTTCAACTCTGCCTATTCCACTAGGGAACTCTTCACACGGTTGGGGTAGACACCTCTCTAACTCATCGACATTGTTTGAGGCCTGTAGATGATCTTCAACCTGGTTTAAGCCTATCTGTTGAGATAGTTTACCCCATGCGGTGTGGCTACTGCAAAAGCTGCAGCTTCTTGGAGCCACAAGTGACAGCTGTGTGGCAGGTGGTCACTAAGGTGGATGGGCAGCCCTGAAAAGAATTTAGCAGCCCTCACACCAGAGGTGCTAGTCCTCCCTTGAAGACTCCATACACCCTGGCACCTAGTAAGCACTTGATAAATGCTTGTTGACTGACTGACTACTGTCTAATCTTGGCCACAGAAATTCTATCTGTAGGTCATCTAATTACTTTGTTTTCTTGTAAATCCAGGCAGCTAGGTGGCACAGTGGGTAGAGCACTTGGTGGGAATCAAGAATACTCATCTTTATGAGTTCAAATCTGGCCTCAGACTCTTATTAGCTGTGGGACCCTGGGCAAGTCACTTAACACTCTTTGCCTTAGTTTCCTCATCTGTAACATGAGCTAGAGAAGGAAATAATAAACCACTCCAGCATCTTTGCCAAGAAAACCCCAAATGGAATCACAGAGAGTTAGATATGACTGAAAAATGACTTAACAACAACAAAAATTCTTGCAATTAAAGTATATATCATGATGGTATTAATAAGGAGGTACAGGCTCTCGAGAATACTACTGGTTTCACTTTCTATTTCTGTTTTAAATCTTGGAATTAATTCTATGTGGTATATATCATAATAATTATTAATATGATATGTATATTTATATATATATTTATATAATAATTTAAAAAACTATAAAGGAGGAAATATCAACATTTGCCATGACCTCTCAAATATCCATGGCTAGCTGTTGTCCTACACCTCTGTTACTTTAATGAGACAAACTCCTGAAAAATTTATCCACACTCAGTATCTTTACTTCCTTTTCTCACTCTTTTTAAAACCTTTTGCCTTTTTCTAATCTCATCACTCAACTGAAATAGGTCTCCTCAACATTACTAATGATCTCTTACAAAATCTAAAGCCTCTCCCCTCATCATTCTTTACCTCTGCAATATTTGATAATATTGACCATCCTCTCCTATCTTAGTGTTTTTGACACTGCTCTTTTCTAGTTCTCCTAACTCCTCTCAGTCTCCTTTTAGAGTTCATTATCCATGTCATAAGCTGGTAGACTGGCCCTGGAGTCAGGAAGACCTGAATTCAAATTAGACCTCAGATACTTACTAGCTGCATTACCCTGGAAGTCACTTAGCTCTGTTTGCCTCAGTTCCTCATCTGTAAAGTGTGCTGGAGAAGGAAATGGCAAACCACTCCAGTATCTTTGCCAAGAAAAGCCCAAAAAGCAGGTCATGGAGAGTCAGACACAATTGAAAGGACTCAGCAACAACAAAATATCTGTCAGCACCAAAACTCCATAGGTAACTAGATGGCACATTGGATAGAGCACTGGGCTTGGAATCAGGAAGACTCATCTTCCTGAGTTCAAATCTGGCCTCAGACACTTATTAACTATGGGATTCTGGGCAAGTCACTTAACCCTGTTTGCCTCAGTTTCCTCATCTATAAAATGAGCTAGAGAAGGAAATGGAAAACCACTCCATTATCTCTGCCAACAAAACCCTAAAGTGGGGTCATGAAGAGTCAGGCATGGTGGAAATGACTGAACAACAACAACAAATCCATGTCGTGCTCTCTAAATGTGGGTTTCCCCCCAGAGAAGACTTTGTCCTAGCCCTCTTCTTTTTTCTCTCTATAATCTCTCACTTAGAGATCTTATGACTCCCATGAGTCCAATTATCTTTTTTTATGCAGATGACAGGCTGCATGATACAGTGGAAAATGTGCCGGATTTGGAGTCAGAGTTGTTGTTGTTCAGTCCTTTCCGTCATCTCTGACTCTTTGTGACCTCATTTGGGGTTTTCTTGGCAAAGATACCAGAGTGGTTTGCCATTTCCTTCTCCAGCTCATTTTACAGATGTGGAATTGAGGCAAAAAGGGTTAAGTAACTTGCCCAGAGTCCCACAGCTAGTAAGAATCTGAGACCATATTTGAACTCAGGAAGATGAGTCTTCTTGGCTTCAGGCATCACACTCTTCTACTGTGCCACCTAGTTGCCCAAGTCAGGGTACCTGAGTTCAAATTCCATCTCTAATACTACTATATGAACTTGGTCAACTCAGTAGCCTTTCTGAGCTTTATTTTCCTTATCTATAAAATGAGAGGGTTAGATTAGAGTTAAATCTATGATCCTATGACTCCAAAATCTATATATCCTGTCTTTGTTTCTTTCTTGGGCTCCAGTCTTGCATCATGAATTTTCTATTGGACATGTTAAATTGGACCTCTCATAGGCATGTTAAACTCAACATATCCAAAACAGAACTTCTTATCTTTGCTCTTGAACCCTTCCCTTTTTCCAAACTTTACCATTGCTGTTTTAAAAATCATTTCTTTGATCTTTAAAAAAAATCTCTTTCTTTAGCCCTTCAAAGAATTTTTGTTTGGGCTTGTGTCCAATCTGCATTTTTCTTTAAGGCTTTTGTTTTGTTTTTTAGTGAGGCAATTGGGGTTAAGTGACTTGCCCAGAGTCACACAGCTAGTGAGTGTTTTGTGTCTGGAACTCAGGTCCTCCTGACTTCAGGGCTAGTGCTCTATCCACTGCACCACTTAGCTGCCCCCAAGGCTTTTTTTTTCATATCATTGTCTCCTTTTCAGTTTGTGTCTTGAGTTTCCCTGTCACAATAGTAGCTTTTTATTGTCAGGTTCTTTCTTTGTTTCTTTGTTTTTTTGCTCATTTTTCCATTCAATTTCTTGACTTTGGACTTTATGTTAAAGTTGAGCTTTGCTAGTCTCTGGGGGTGGGGAGGTGGGAGGTCTCTGCCCCAAACTTCACACTTTTTTGTCTTGATATTTTCACAGCTCATTCTGGAGGCCTGCATATTTTCTGCATTGTTCTTTGGTAATAATCACATATGCACACACACATATACATACATATACGTAACAGGATATATATGCATACATATATTTGTACATATGTATTTATTACACATATGCTTATATAATATGTACTCCATGGACCCTGTTATTCACACACACACACACACACACACACACACACATACATAGGGCATAGACCCTGTGCAAATCTATCATGCCTCCTTACTTCAGGACAACCATATCTATGGTTCGATCAATGCTGAAGGGTTTCTCACTTTGAGGATAATGAAGTAATACACTTATTGATTATTGAGCAGTGACTCAGTAGATCTTTAAAAGGTAGTGACATCCTGGGTAGCTCTCTTTCTGGCTGAAGATGCTGTTGCACACTTAGTAAAAGTGAGAGATGATGGACAAACAATGTCAAAGTTGCATTAGTAGCCAAGAACCATTAAGATTTAGAAAAAGGCCTTTAGTATATTGGGAAGTTCCTGTATGGAGGATTTATGGAAGGATAGGAACAAGGATTTAATAAGATTAGAAAGCAGGAACAAGTTGTGATTTGAACCAGGATTCATACTAAGTAGAATCAAAGATGACAAATCTTTAGCTTTTGAAGAAGCCCAGTAGCACATTTATATTTGAATGGAAATTTTCAGCTTGCCTGGATTGTGCTTAAACCCTTCTACTGTATCACACAACAGATTCCAGCTTTTGTTTGTTGGATCAGAGATGGAGAGTTGGAAGGGAGCTCAGTGGTCAGCTAATCCAATCTCTTCATTTTACATATGAAGAAAACAAGGTGCAGTGGAGTTAAGTAATTTGTCCAAGTCCACGTAGGTAATAAGTGTTAGAGGTAAGGTCTGAACCCAGGTCCTCTTGCTCCCAGAGCCATTCCTCTTTCTATCTAATGGGAGGTTGGACTAGAGGACTTCTGCTGGCCTCTTTTAGCTCCAGATCTCTCAGGTCCTATTACCTGAAGTATAAACAGGTACATCCTAAAACTTGTAAATATACATTTCCAGCCAGGTCCTCATTAGTGTCGGTAACGAATCCCTTGACATAATTACCTTATCCAAATTTGCATGCATATTTCTGTTAGGCAGGAACCAATGCCCATATTTTATATAACTGTACCTTTGAATCGTGTGAATTTAAATACTTTCCATCACTTCAGGGTATTTATTATTTGTACTAATTGGGACATAGCTATATTAGTAGCCTGAAGTCCTCGTTTGTTGGGATCCCCAGATAACAAATTTGCTAGAGTTTTGCTTTCCTTTTATAGTCATAGTATAATCATTTTACATAAGTATAATCGTTATACATAAGTATAATCATATACTTATATACTTACTATATACTTCCTCATATACTTATTATATAATCATACAATCATATAACCCTTCGTAATCAAGGATTTTCTCAATCCTGTTCTATTGGTGGTGAGCTCATAAAGCTAGCTGTTCAAAGATATGATATTACAAAAGAGCCAACCTTCCTGTGCCCTCTCAAATTACTAATATCCAGAATCTTTAAGTGGTTACAATCTACCAAAAAGAAAAATTTGGAAGGCACTGATTTGGAAGACATGGAGAGGATACTAGCAACCCGTTTACTTGTCGGTGTGCCGTGTCATCTTAATCCCAGGCCTTACTGAGAGGAGCTCATTCAATTCACACTCAGCATGCCAGCTGAAGGTTTGTCTCTTCAGTCACTTTGCAGTGGTGTGAATTAGCATGAATGTTATATGCACGCAGGGTTATTGGTGAGATTATTGGAGTCAGTAAAGTTGGCTGACTCATTTGTTGCTATTTACAGAGCCAAGGTAAGCAATTTATTATGGAATGGATGTTAATGATAGGCTACCTGAATTCCTATTGAGGAACGACGGCTCTTGAGGAACTCCTCAGCTTTTGTCACTAAGACGGCTTTGTCACTAGTTCGAATTGAACTGCTCTGGCTCTCAGAGGCGTGGCGCTGGGCGGCTGCTGTTTCCAGGGCAAGATTCATGGCCTTGTTACTGTCCAGGCTATCTGTGGAATTGTACAGGCCTCGGCCATCTTGTGGCCATGGAGGGATCCTCTGAGTCCGGCTGTCATGGTAGGCATCCTGGGTAGATTCCGTGCTGCTCTGGGCGGTAACAGAAATCAGAGGCTTGGAGGTTGTCCGAGGGGGAACTGGTGGTGGTGTTTTTTTATAACTTGTGTATGATACAGCTGGAGAGAGAATAAAGGGGGAAAAAACCAAAGTTAATATAGTTATGTGAATCTTTTCCTCGTTAGAGTCTGCTCTCCATAATTATACACAATTAATTATAAAATGCAAATGAGACAACTGAAAAATGGCACCTTGAGTGCTCATACTTCTAATACCTTGGAAATTTTTTTTTTAAAGTTTTGTCGAGGCTTAATTTTATATAGATTCAGCCACTTTCACTGTTGTTACCTATCAGGTACTTTCCCTTCTCTTTAAAAAAAATAAGGTTTATTGATGCCTTTTGTTTTTTATATCAATCACTTCTGTATACATTATGCAATCTCATCCCCCCATAACCCTCTGAATTGAACCTTCTCTGGTGATAAAGAACAATTGCTAAGCAAAAACAATTAATGTAGTGACTGCATCTAACAACATATGTAACATTGTCCCTATAGTCCTTTTCCCTTTTGCCAAGAAGAGGGATGCATGTTTCATTATCCCTTAGCTACTTTCTGTCTCCCTTTCTGTCCCTACTCCCATCCCTAACTCTTGAAGTCTATTTACTGAGTTTCTAACTTATGGAAAATATTGCATTTTGAGGGATAAAAAGATTAGTAAAATACAATTCATGCCTTCATAGTAGTTATGATCTAGTATGAGGAAATAAGACATCTATACAGATACAGTAACTATAATATAGTGTTAAGTATATAGGAGAATGACAAAATGCAGAGGCCACTTCCAGTGGCAGGGACCAAGAATCTCTTTATGGAGGAGTTAGGCCGTGAACAATGGACATCACAACAGGAATATCTAAGGGGGAAGGCATTTCAGGTATAGGGCACATCATAAGTAAAAGCATGGAAAAGGGAAAGATTTTAGTATGTCTTTGACGAATGTCAAGTTCACCATTTTGGCTGAGGGATTCACCAAGGGGAGAAGGGTGAGATGAAAGATTGGCTTTTACTTTCCCAAGAACCCAGACTAGGGAGTTATAAGCACCTGTATCTAGTAAATATGCTCAAATAAAAGAGAGAGAGAAAATTGAGAGGAGAGGCAAGAACTATTTCATATCTTTTAGGAAGTAGCCTAATTTTCATTAGGCTCATTTACCAGCTCTCTCAAGCTTTGGGCATGTACTTATTTTGTCAGCTAAGATAAAATATTCCTTAGCACTCTCTTCAGTTCTCAAATGAGTTTACACTACAATAAGTTATTTTATTTCCTCTTCAAAACAAGAGTTAATAAAGTGCCCCTTAAGCAGTAATGAAAAACTCTTCAGTATAATCCAAGGAAAAAGCACTAACTGGATGGGTTGTAGATGTCTGAGGATTGTTTGTTATGCTCAGAGATAGCGGGATGAGTATACAAACATCCTCCAGGTTTATGAGATCAAGTTTGAAGGAAGGATGAGTAATAATACCCTGTAATCATTTTCAGAGAAAGTACCCTTAGTTTTAAGAAACATAATACAAATGAATATGAAAATCTATGATTCAAAATTTTACTTTTCCAGTGTTTGAGCAGTCTTTTTCAATATTTCCTTAATCTCTGGGTTAAACTGGAGTAGCAAAAGGGCTAGGAGACTAGCCTTTGAGTCAGAAGGATTTGGGTTCAAGTTCTGCCTTTTCTACACAGAAGCATTGGCAAGTCATTTAACCTTTCACCACCCCCAGGCAAATCTGTAAGGCTACTAAGTTAAGGATAAGTTATCTGTATTGGATGGAGGTAGTTCCCACCCTGTGATTTACACACACACATACACAAGAAGTTTGGACCAAAACAAATAAGTAAATAAAGGATGTCCTACCCCACTCATAACCCAAAGTGATTTTTCAAATTTGATGCAAAACATGAAAAAACAAAAACCAAGCAAAATAAAATTTAAGCTTTTGCATTTAGCCCAATTTAACATATATTTAAAAGTTTTCTGTGTGTGAAGAATAAATGTTCCAACCATGGGCCTGAGGTCTCACTGCCCTGTAGCCAGCTTCTCAAGGCACCAGATTCTCCACTTGTGGCCAATCCAAATTTCACCCCAGAATTTTCACATTTTATTCCCAACCAAAATGCATCTCATTACTGATCCAAGCTGGAGGTACTGAGCCTTCTGCAACTTCCTAGCTTGGTTCACAGAGTGCAATGGTCTGTCATATTATAACTCAGATTTCCTTCCAATTCTCTCCTCCTTAGGACCTTGGAGGCCATCTAGTCTAACCTATAGCTCATCTAGAATCCCTGACATGGCCATTTAGTCTTTACTTGAAGACATTTGGTGTGAGGAACCCACTACCTTACAAAGCAACCCATTCTGCTTTGAGACAGCAATCAATGTTGGAAAGCTGTCAATCGTATATCATTTGTTAACTCTAAGAAAGATAGCTTCTTAGCTATCACTCCCTTCTCTAGGTATGCTGGTCTTAACTCCTATTTCCCTCTTTCTCTTATAATCCTTTTCTTCAGATCCATATGCCAGGAATGTATTTCCTAAGGGACATGAATAAGTGTCAATTTAGAAAGACCACAGGAAACCTATTCAGTCCCTAAGTGGCACCTAAGCTTTCTAACCTAATTATAAAGGAAGCTCAGCAAGTGTAGCATGACCCGACAGGCCTATCTAGACTAGGAGCCCCTCACCACTTTTCTTTGATGTTTACAGATGAGAATGATGTATTGTATTTAGAACATCCCTAGGCTGATTTTGGGAGTCATCCACCTGGCTTTTCTGGACATAGCTCGTACTTCTAAACTCAGTTGTATTCTCAGCCAGTCAGGAGGTCTGATGGTTTAATTACAGGTTTTTGGTTCTTCACCTTTGTAGCTACATAATTCTTTAGTTAACTAACTTTTCCTGCCTACTACCAATGGAAAACTAAAGGATTATAAAGTAATTATATAATGTCATCTCAAAAATTCAAAATGATCCAACCTCCAAAGTTCATAAAAGATGACTCTTTATGATGAGCAAGGTACATATTTTTGGATTTCAAGGCCTAGAGATTGTTTGTTAAAAATTTGAGATGTAGATATTTTAAAGAGTCCTTGAAAAGGCAACCTACAAAATTAGAAAATGACGAAGTAGCTTTGAAACAAATGAGTCTCACGTTTATTTTTTTAGCACAAAGAATTTAAGTAGGCCCTTCTTCCTAGGAAGGAAAGATATCTAAAGCCATCTTCTCCAGTGTCTGAGTTCCCTAGTATCAACTATTTATTCTGCAAATATTTATTCTGTATTTCCTATTTGCAAAATGTTATGCTTGGTATTGTAGGAAATACTAACAAGTATAAGACATAAACCTTGTCCTTAAGAAGTTTACCATGATGCAGACTGAAGGACACTTTTTCTTTTTCTTTGCCTTCTTTATCTTTTTTGTTTTTTTTGTCTGTGTTTTCTTTCATAATATGATCAACATGGAAATATGTCTTGCGTGACTACACATGTATAACTTATATCAAATTGTTTACTTGATGGGGGAAGGAAACAGAAGGAAAGAATTTGGAACTCAAAATTTAAAAAAAAAAGAATGTCAAAGATTGTTTTGGCATATAATTGGGGAAAAACAAATTATTAAATATTAAAAAAGTTTACCATCTAGTTTTGTACATTTGTGGCTCAATGAGCGAGTCAATATATTTAGTGGAAACACTTCCACAGTCATTACTTCTATTTCTCAGTGACTTCTAAAAGCCAAGAGTAGATAAACTGTATTCCAAGTTCCTTAAAATATATCTAAGAAAGGATATGATGACTTCAAACAAGAAAACCTATGATATAGTTAAATGGGAGCTGGGTCAAATAAGGTAGATGAAAATCCAGATCAGAGAAAACATTTCTATGTCTTACCAACCAACATAGGGATCTTATTAGGTTGGAAAGGGATAAATTAATATTTCTAAAAGGTAGTTTTTGACAGATAACTTCAGGAATTTACAGGGTTTGAGAGAGTAAAGTGTCATTGAAGATGGTTTCCCTATTAATATATGACTAATCTTTAGTGATTTTTTAAAATTTGTTAAGCATTTTTCTACTGGCTTTGTACAGACATAATCTTTGTGTTTTTTCTGTCTCACCATGATGTTGGACTTAGATATTTGAATCAAGTACAAAACTGGTGGACTTTTTATGCCTCAAACTTCATTACTGGTCTCTGAGGATCCACAAATGAGGAAGCAGAATCCTATAGGGGATTATGGAGTCCATTGTGACAAGAGTTCTGGTCCTGGTTCTGCCCCTAAATAGCTATGTGGCTAGTCACTAAATCTCTATGAACATTTTGGCTAAATGATTTCTAAAGTACCTTCTTTCACTAAAATGCGTTTAGCTCTCAATATGATAATACTCACCTATTTCTCATGTTATTAGTGGAGGAACTAATGCCCAAAAGTATTCTGAACTTACAGTGACATCAGAGGTAATATAAACAGTCCCCTTTTTTTCGTTAAACTTTTCTATTATACTGGCCTGCCACATATGTAATTTTGTTTCTTTTAAGTGGGAAAAATGCAGGAGAAAAACTATGAAGGAAGTGTATTGGTATATAGCATTTAATGGGTCTTTTATGCAACAGTATTAGAAATATAGGTAATTATCTTCATGTTAACCAATTAGTGATGGCTCATTCACTAAAAACTCTTGCTTTATCCTATAATCACACATCTTCTAGAGTTACAGTGACACAGTTGAAATAAAACATAGACATCCAATTTTCAGAATATAATTGCTAATAGATGCTGTGGATAAAAACCCAGATATTATTGCAAAGTTAATGAAGTTGTGTTTCTCTTAAGCAGTAACAATCATATTGATGAAATTGTCTATACCACCCTTGGGTAAAAGTAACATTAAAAGGCACTGCAGAAAAAAAAGAACATATCATGAAAGTTATACTTATCTTTGAAACCTCAAGATTGAGTAGATAGGTCATCATGGAAATGACTAAGTTACTGTATTTTGCCAGCTGTGCTCCTCTCACCAGTGAACAATGAAACATATGGTGAATATTATAATGGAATTCAC